GGAAAAAATAGGCAGAAGGAGGCGTGGCAGACTTTTTAAATATATACTTCCTAGATCCGTACCAATATTCATCCGCGGGCTTGCTGTCTTGTAAATTAAACAATTTCTTTAAATTTTAAATATAATTTTCTAAATACTATTCGCAGACGAGTTTATTTTATACTCTCTATAAATCATCTTTCATAATATTCACAAAAATAAAAGTATTTAAATAATGAGAGCCCTTTAAAAGATACGCACATGCAAATCTCATTTTCATACTTTTATTTGTATATATACTTTCAATCCAGAAGTAAAGTTTATTGCAAATCAATTTTCTATTTCTATTCTGTTCCGCTAGCTGAGCTATGCTTATTTCCTACATATATTCCTATAGAACAAGTGTGAAATGTTTGGAGCATTACCTAATTGCATGGCTTAAGGTATTTCTATTTAGGACACCCTTTGTTATTATATAACGAATTAAAATCAAATGTAAAGACAAAAAGATTATTTAATTTATTATTTTAAATCTTATCATATTACAAAAGGTCTTAGAAATGTGTGTTTTCATCGCTATTATTTCGCAACTGAGAATAATAAGGTTATTTCTTATATACATATATTTTCTTATACATACTTAACGCTGCTTCGTTTACCATATAGTCCTCTGCTTTATAGCCTTTTTGAATCACCTTCCTTCTAATAAAGTTGTGGTGTTGAATATTTCGATAAATACACTAAAAATTTGATATGCATAAAGTTATTGTGGATAATTTATGAGGAACATGTTTATTATTTGGTTTCTATTACTTGAAACTATTGGTATAATAAATACGATGATATTTGAGAGTCATCTATTCGGCGTAGTTCTAAAGTTGATGTGAATAAACACATTAATCGTTGTTTTAAGTGGCAGTAAATTGCATATTTCTACTCGCGTTATCGCGGCTCTAAAACAAGCGCGTCATTTCGCCCAGAAAAACAATCTGCAGAACACTTGTAAAACTTGACAGGCGTGCAGCGGACAAGTTTTACGGGCGACCCAGCCTCCTGCTCGTTGGAGAGTGGTGGAGTCCTTTCGCAGCAGAGTGCAGTGCACCAGCAGCTTCGTTGGACCCTTTGCAGCTCCTGCTCGGGCAGAGCCCCACCAGCCAGCGATACACAAACATTTACAATTTATTGCACATTTGCCTACGAAATATCGTCCAATTCAGGGCAGCTCAGACATTTAATGGAGTATGCAGATGGGGGCTGCTCCATGCCCCGTCGCACTTCTCTACGTGCTTGGGAGTGCTACGGTGGGTTGGTGGCACTGTTGCCCTGATGTGCTGCGGTGGGTGTGACATTACAGCATGTTCCATTGCACATTTGATGAATTTATTGCAGTTTAGAATTTTTTGCCCAATGTGCAGCAGTTGCAATTTTCCCAAAGACACATGAAACGAACCCCAACAGAAAAAAATGGCAAACTGCAATACGTTCCCTTGTTGCCAAAACAAAATGAAAAAAAAAAAAAAAAAAAAACAATACATAGAGTCTGCATGAATATTAGATACCCTCTAAAACGTATCTCTAGGTAATGGAAATGTCGATAAGGTAAAAACAATGTCGACTGTTGATCGAGCCTAAATGAATTCAAAATATTCTTAATAATATTATTTGATTAATAAAATTGAATGGATGTCCTTTAAGCTCACTGAACTAGTTCAATTGAACTCTTTTATACGATATATAAAGATGATGTCGGATAACGATGCTTCTACTGCCATAAGTGAATTGAAAATATACTCAATCAGTGATTAATTAAACTGAATGTCCATTATACTCCCTGAACTGGTTCAATTAAACTCTTTTCAAGCTACGATTGTCATATGCCCCGATATATATGAAGAGGATGTCGGATAACGATGCTTCTCCCGCACGTTTTCCATGGATGAAACTGTCAAAATGAACGCTTAGAAACTTATTTATAGTTCGGCGTACACAATTTTCGTTGTCTGTGCCAAAAACTTGGCCCTCTGCAGGCCAGGCAAGTGTGAGAGCATGAAGTGAAGTCGAAGCGATATAGATAAGCATTATAAAGAATAGCCCAAGTGTCATATGGTGGCTGCGCGCAGCTGTCAGCTCGAGTTTGCAGCTACACTGGTTTAATTGGTTGATGTGAGTGGAAACTCTTTAAAATGAGGATACACTGCTCTCTATCTCTCTCTCTCTCTCTCTCTCTCTCTCTCTCTCTCTCACCTCAGTCTGATTAAATTGTCTTTTGGAGTTGCAAGGCGCCTGAATCACCTGAACGCTCTAGCACGCCGTCGTCTGGTTAATTACCCACTGATTACAGCTAGCTGCAGTCGTTGGTGCTGGCCACTTGCTTTATAGTTGGCTAAGTGGTATTTACGTTTTAATTTAACGCTTCTTTCGGGTGCACAGCAGTCGGAGGTGGCCATGCGCTTTCGGTTTCAAGAAATGCAATACAAAGGCGAAAAGCAAAAGCCAAAAAGCAATCCGGATGCCAAGGCTTAAAAAGCTTTAAGGCACAACTGAAGACGGTCCCCTCCTGGATTACGGTCAAAGGGGCTGGACATTACCGTCTGTAATTGCTGCGGCTATGGGCAAGTCCCGGACAGGGAGCCAGACTGTCGGACAGACAACTGTTGCCGTCGCCTAGTCGCCCCAATTGGAGTTGTCGACGTTGTCGCCCATTCAAGTGGTTTTTGATGACAAAATGAAAGGTAATTTTGCGCAAATTCTCGCCACGATTTTGCCACAGCAGCGGCGGGGTGTCCAGAACAAATGACAAGTTATGCCCGGAGCAGACGCCGAGTGTGAGCCATCAAATAGGCTTTGTGATGATCGTTAATGCAAAAGGAAAAAGTGAGAAAGGAATTGGCCAGCCGGCAATTGGCCAACAAAAGGACGTTAAAAATGTGCAAAATTATAATGAAAGCGCTTTTCGGCAACCGGAAATTGTGGCTGCATTAGAGATAAGTGCTTCAATGGTGTCACGAGATGGCGAGAAGCAGTTCCCCTAGCCCCGAGAGGAGCTCCTAGACCAGCTGCCGGCTTTAATCAATCCGAGACCCCATTAAAGCACAGGCAACGCAAACAATGGCCCATGGCAATGCCTAACTGGGCATATAAACGATGGCTGGAGTATCTGTAACTGCATCCGTATCTGTATCTGTATCTGTATTTCTATATCTAGCTGTAGCTCTGTGTGTATCTGTCTAACTGCGGATGTGCCTGTGTGTGGCGGTAAATCTTTATAAGCGCGAATAATTGGTTTCCTCATTTAATGCGAATGGTTCATGGAGCATGCCAGGCGAGATGTAGCAGTGGGGCTGGCAGCAGGCTGGCGCTGCAATCGTTGTGCTGCCGTCAAAGAAAATGCTTCACAATAAACATCAGCTTTTTTTTTGCTGTGGCCCCGGTGGCTGCCCGGTCGGCTGTCAGTGCAAACAGCAGGAGTCATAATATTGCAACAGCATCGGGATCACAGAAAATGCTGGAGTCAGAGTCGAAGCCTCTGCCGGCCGTGACTTGGGGGAGCGAAAAGAAATTGCTGGAAAAAATTAATTGCATTTTCATTATGTTGACTGGCTGCCTGAGTTAGTCCGAGCCAAAGGGAGAGCGACAGGCAGCAACAGCAGCAGCAGCAGACAGACAAATGATGGGGATATAGGCACTTAGACATCTCTGATATGGGGCTATGGGGCGGTTGATACATATTCCTTCTGACAGTGCGAAATGAATAAAAATGAAATGATTATGCTGATAAATCATAAAGTATTAGGTGTTAAGATCTATTGACAAACATAAAGGATTGCCTGGGTACATAGTTCGGCACTTGCATAATCAACCCACTTTTAGTAGATACTACGAATACTTAAAACCACGCGCATTTCGAGTGGATTTCCTTATCATAGCCTTATAAATTGATCTATAAAAATATGTGAGGTCGCACAACAATAAGAAACCTTTCTTATCGCTTCGTACGAGCTGCAGAAAATTGATTTCAGCAACTCTGTTATATAAACTCGGCTAGACCAGAATAATGAATCGACTGATAAGATCAGATGTGTCACATGTTTCTTTCTATTTCTATATAAATACATACATCGGATCAGTTATTACTAATTTGGCGAAGCTTATCTGCCCAGGCCTGCTTTATTCAATAATCTAACTGAATTTTACCCCAATCTCTGCTACCAATCCCTTTAGCAATTCAGCCACGCCCACTCCGATAACTGTCATGAGTCAAGCATTGCGCCGATATGGGGCGAGTGCCGCAAAAGATAAATAATTTGCTCATTTTATTTACATAAGATACTCGAAGCGAGGGCTTTCCAGATTCGAGATAGCGCTGCTTACTGTGAGACGGCATCTTTGCTGAATCGCTTGCGAAAACGACGCTGACTGGTGCTTGTCGAAAGTAGAATAGAAGAATCTCACACTCGGTCAAATGGTACATGTGATAAGCCTGCTATTCTACTTGCCAATCCACACCGACTGAGAATCACAGGGAAAACACATTTTGCTCGAAATCAAAACTCACTCGCGACACTAATTCGAGCGACGTGCACAGTAATCACAGGTGACAATCTAAATAAGTATATATGTATGTGCATATATATTTCTGTCAATAAGTGTATCACATTATATGTAGATATATATAGCACATAAGAGGAAGTCGAAACACGGCGCAGAACTAAGCACTTCGGAGTTCAATAACGAAATAATGACATACTTTCATAGATATCGCTTTTTATATGATATGCCTTATCTGACGACGGTATTTTATTTACTTTACCTTTACTCAGGCAATATCTTTCTGACAATACATGTGTGCGTGTGTGTGTGGTGTGTAAGTGTGTGAGAAGCAGATAACTGGATTTGGATTGGCCGCTCTTATCGATAGTAGGAAACGTCGACACACACTGACAGAGATATGACGACCTCATGACGAATATGCCATGAATAAATAGCGCCAAGTGTATAAAGCTAGGGCTCCAAATGCATGCGATGAATCGGGCCAGCAGGTTATACACAAAGCGAAGGGACTCCCATCTGTCCATGGTAAGGTGAATTTGACAGAAATTGCTAGCTCTCTCTCTATCGATGGCATATCACCAGGGGAGACTGCATCGTGGTCACTGGGCAAACAGCAGTCGAGAGCGGCATGAAAGGCCGCGAAATGCTTCGAGCATATTATTGATAAGCAGAAAAGAAAAAACCCCAAATTCAAGCTATACCACTCGCTGCATACATATGTGTACCTACTACATATATACTTATGTACAGGTAGACGACTATATATACATTTTGGGTCGGTATCAATAAATGCTTCCACTGTGGCAGTTACCAGCGAGCGGGCGCGATAAAATATAGACATTACCTTTGATAAATGACAATCAGGTGAAGAGTTTAAAGAGGCGGACACAGTACCGGACTATTCCCTGCTTGGGATAATCAAATATTGTAAATTCTAAAATAAAAAACTGATCAAGTTTGCTTCTCACAATGGCTCTGTGGTTAAGAGACGCATTTCAATCAGATAAGACAACTTCGATTGGCGGCAGTCCGAGTAAATATTTAAAGTTCTTCCAGGCGAGTGCCCGACTAGGCGATACCCTATACGCTTTGCGCTAAGAGGCGTCAATAAACAATTCTTTAAATATGTTCGAGTAAGCGTAAGAGCCGAAAGAGCACTGCCCATCTCCTACTATATATTTGCCCAAGCAAACGAGCTGTGCAAACAATGTTTTCATGTATGATATGCGAGTAATCTATCCATAGACTGATTGTGAGCATATGTTACAAGGATGGTACTGAGTTTGTTTAGGATATCAACATGGTCTAAGCCGGGAATATCTAACATCACTTTCACCCGATCCATTTGGCTGCAGTCTTCGAAATACTCCCAGCTAAATCAATGCAGATACAGTAGACAAAAAACAACATATTGAGCAGTAAAATAGTTATATACCTAAGATAGCTGTACGGCACTGGGCTGAATGATAGGTGTGAAGATGTTGATAAACAAATCATTTCTTGTAAAGTGAGTCGAGTAAGTGTCATCGCATATTTCAACAAAAATAGGTGAGTAGCTCTTGCAACAGAGGCCTTAGGAACATAAACCCCATTTCTTGTCTTATCGATTTTATGCTGAGCTGTGTATTTCCGCCAGAGTGTTCAAATCATCCAACTAACATTTATCGATATTATATAACGCGGCTTGACTAGTCCCAACGTTACAAATTTAAGTCGAAAAATACCAATTTGTTGCTTCGCCGAACGAATATAAGTCGCTATATCTTATCTTGCAGCAAGCTAGAAATTTTTATTGATATGTATTACTTTGAGATTTTCTATACCTGTCAAAAAGCAAGCAAGCCAAAAGTTCGAATAAAACATTAACGGATGACTTATCATGCCATGGGCTATGGAAACTTCATGGCGAAACGCTCGCCCTACTTTGTTTCACCCCGAGTCTAACTGAAGCCGATGATGATCTACTGAGATTCTAGAGATTGGGACTACACATATTGAATTGCCTAAGAAATAAAGAAATAAGTTCACACCTATATAAATTAGAATACTAGAGATTTGTTCGGATATATGTATGGGAGAGAGATACAAGAAGGAAATACAGAGAGAGACAGTTAGATATTTTTAATAAACAAATCATTACTATATGCATACATGAGACTTGTTCTAGAGTAATGCGGATAATCAAAGTGAACAAACGCATGAATTAGTAATACATTTGATATGTATTATAAAGACTATCTTTATGTGACTTTATTAATGTTGTATAACCTCACTAGTGTGGCGCCAGTCTAAAAGACACTGGCACCAATTGAAAATTGGCCGGCAAGTATTCTATTTGTCATACTAGTTTCTTATCATTGTAGTACCTAAAACTATATTGTGAGGCCTTTCAAATCCGCCTAGACCCCACATTCCACGCTGTGGACTGTCGACTGTATCTCGAGAGACACAAATCGCTTTAGAGAAATTTCAGTTTGATTATATTACTGGCATTTTGCAATCAATAATGCAAAGCTGAACGTGGCTAAGAAATACATTTAAATTCCACAAAGGACAGGCCAGAGACTCGCTCAACCAGTGCAAAAGTCCTTCAGGGCCTTGCGGCGGGGACTGCGGCATATTTGCACGTAAGATTGATTAAAAAATACGTGTTGTGATTACATAATGAATGCACAAATTTCGATGTAAGCGGGCGCAGCGGGGCTTGATTGGGTTGCGGACAATTCATTAATGCTTGGAGAGGGCCGAAGTGGGGAAGTGCAGGCCTGGGAAGGAGCTGGGATGGCACAAAGCCAAGCAAACTTTTCAGAGAAGTTTGGCAGGTGAGGCTGTTGAGAGAGCCGTTGAAAATCCATTGATAAAGAAATAATAATTTCCGCTCTTGCCGCCCACCAATGCACACAGTTTAAGATGATTTTCAATTTCCGGACTAATTCAAGCCAAAGAAAAAATATTCACTTGCTGCAGTTTAAGGGTACAGTCTCACGCCGCGTCGAGCCATAAGGTCGAGGACCGCTAAATGCCAGGCCGGGCGGGTGGGTCTCAGCCTAGGCAGATAACACCTGCGGCAGCCTGCAGCCTGCAATGAAAAATCGTTTAATGGCACCTTTCGCACACTCCGGGCGCACAGCCAGAGATGAAGCCAGGGACTGCTCGGGTGTACGGGGTGGACGGGGTGGGCGGGGCTGGGGCAACCTTTTGCAGTCATTTCAACTGTCAGTCTGTTTTGTCAGCAGGTCGGCAGGGCGCCACTTCTAGCTGCAGGCAGCAATTGCAACACTTTGCAGCCGCCCTCTGAAATGGGAGCAACCTGCAGCAATCCCTTTGTATAGAGCAGTCACATAGCCAACATCATTTGTCAAGCTCTGTGGCAATTAGATTTGCCCTATGACTATTTCTATTTCAATAGGCTGCCTCTGTCTGTGAATGCTTTAATGGGATATGCCCGGCTCGAAATACCCTGCCAGCAAAACTGTTTTGCACAATATTTGAAGTGATTCCTCTCTGCACCTTGCTGATTATCGAAGTCATGGAATACAAAATACTTCGTAGCTATTGAATCGAGATATATGCAAAGCTTTGTATTAATGGCATAGTTACGAGATAAGACGCTCAACGTTAGTCACCTTCAGAGATTAAGATTCAACCCGTGGGGCATGACGAAGTTCTATTCTATATCGAGTTCTAAATATTCCTTCGCAATTCCACCCTGGCATCATATAAATATTTATAATAGCAGAATGAGCTTCGATCCACATCAGAAGTCTTTCATCATTTTATTCATCTATCAATTACCCCCATTGTTCCAGGCCAGAATAGCTCTCATTTCTACCAAGTTTCAGCTAAATAGGCAAACACCTGGGTCACTTGACTGGGACTGTACGTCGTGTACTTTAAAGACGGCGGCCACATTTATATACCTTTTCCATTTATATTATATGCGTTTGTTGACTAAGTTAGTTTAATATTGAGACATTTATAGCCCTGATAAGATATACAGCACTGCCCGTAAGTATATGTACCACGCTGTCACCTAATATATGCTTGCATATATACATATAAGTATATAACATATACAGGCATGTGTGTAGGGGTATTTGAGTGTTCCACTTTAAGCAAGTGATTTCGATTTATGATTAGAATTCGAACATTGGTAAACAGCTTATGCATCACTGATAGCACTGCGTCAATGGAGGTCTTTCTGGGGCTTCTGCTGAGCGCATGTAGTTTATAGGAAATTGCACTTGAGTCGAAGCGAACATGTCATAAATTTTTAGCTCAGTTCATAATTTGATAATCACCCTTAGCAGCTCTGACTGCGATTGCTAATTAATGCATCTGATGGCACTGGATTCCCTAATGCCAAAGTTTTAATCAATACCCAAAACCGCAACAAAGTCAACCATCCGCCACTGCAGCTAATAGACCAGGCCCACAGCCACAGCCACAACCACAGCCACAGACCGATGCCACACCCACACCCACACCCACACCCACACCCACACAGAGAATGACAGCCACAGCAGGGACACCTTCGCATGCCGCAGCACGTAGAGCTCGTTAGACATTTTCTTAAGCTAATATTTTCGCAGCGCACGGTCAACATGGACACGGACACGGACACGGGCGGCTGCCAGAAGGAGATTATTCAAATGATTGGAAATTATCATGTCCTTGCATCCATTTTTGGCTGCCCATTGTCCATTGTCCAATGTCCATTGGCCGATGGCCGTTGGTCGTCGGTCGTCGGTCGTCGGTCGTCGGTCGTTGCCTATTGCCAGTTAACAGTGCTGCAGCTCCCGTGTGCAAACAACAAATTGCATTTGTCATCTGCTGCATAAATAACGAGATAATACCGTAACATAATAACTGTCAAGGGGGTGGCCAAGGCTGGCTGAGAACTGCTTCGTAGGTAATCCACCTTGCATTTGGTCTGGGTTGCACGTGTCTCCCGTTTGAGGTTTGCATTGGAAATGGCAATGACGGCTATGTGTGCTTGTCTGAGTGCGTGTCTGTGTGTGTGCGTGTGTGTGTGTGTGTGGTGGGTGTGTGCGAAATGCGAAATTTGTATCGTCGATTTGCATATTTAATCAAAATTAACATGACCGATAAAATCAATTACACATCCACACACACACACACACAGAAACATACCAGAAGGAGGAAGACAAGTAGCACTCGTCTGCAAGATACTCACACACATCACGCTCACACACACACACACATCAGCAGTCTCGCAACTTGTCGAAAAACAATTGCATTAGAAAATGTCGCCATTCTCATTGTCATCCTGCTCACTCTCATCTCTCTCCCGTGCCGAGGACTTGTACAATTTTCGGTTCGTTTGGCTCTGAAATCCTTTTTGCAAAATCTACGACCATGTCGCTCTCGAGCTGTGTAAACTGCAGTGCCATCCGTGTAGCCACACGTGTGTGCGTGCATCTGTGTGTGTGTGTGTGTGTGTGTGCGTGTATTACTGCATTGTTTTAGACACTAATACGGCCAAGGGCTTATCCTGTCCAATGTGCTTAAATTGTTTCTTCCTGTCACACTGATTTTCCCTACTCGATTTATCCATTGCGCCTTTGCCTTTGTTGCTTCCTCTTCCTCTTCAGCCCTGTGCCATCCAAGTTTTATTATGCAGGCCGTAAATCGAAATAAATATGCAACTGCACCAATCTGATACACAAATGTGTAATCTATTTAATTGTATTTACATACATTGAATTGCGCCAGTAGCTGCGCTCTCCATATTATTTACGCACTACGAGAGCCATACACTTGCCTGAACCAAATGAGAGCTGGAGCCTCGAATATTCACTGGGCAGCAGCATCTGCTGATGCCTGCACACAAGAACTGGTAGAGTCCTTGCAGCCTGGTCAATTAGTTATGCGGTCGGATCAGCTAAGCCTCAGCAAGCGCCAATACGTTTCGTTTACAATTAATAAACAGGAATATATATAACACTGACTTCATATGGCTTA